TGTCTCCATTATAATGAACCAGTACCTAGGAAAGGGACTTGACATTGTTTAGCTAATTCTTCACCTCCTCCAGTGGAAAATACATTAGTACATTCCTAATGAGAGGAGAGAGAGAGGGAGAGAGACAGAGACAGAGAGAGACAGAGACAGAGACAGAGAAGGGAGAGAGGGAGAGAGAGAGAGGGAGGGAGAGAGAGAGAGGGGGGAGAGAGAGGGAGGGAGAAAGAACATTATTAAAAGAGAAGGACATAAGTACATGTACATATATAAAGATAAAGAGAGAGAGGAGGAGGAGGTGATGGTGTGTACATGTACATTGTATGTGTCCTTATACTCACTGAACAGTGTGGACACACAAACCCACGCATGTTCTCTATAATACCAATAACTGGTAATAATATCTTTTTACAAAATGACACCTCTCTCCTCACATTTGATAATGATACACCCTAACAATAACAATAATAATAATAACAACAACAACAACAATAATAATAATAATAATAATATTACATGTACCATATTTGCCTGATTAGAAGCCTGGGTGTTTATTCATTAACAGGAAAAATTGCATAAAAAATCTACCAAAGGAAGGATTGAACCTGTGTTGCCTAGGTCACAAGACTGTGCTTCACACAGGCTAATATTAATTATGTGCTTCTAATCAGGAAAATATGGTACATGTGCATACTTGTGGTGTGGTTACTAGTACTGCTCCATCTGGTGATATTGACTTAATATTCTCAACAACTGAAATATGTTCATCACTTGTACCTGGAGAAAGAGAGAGAGAGGGAGGGAGAGAGATAAAAGTAAAGACATTAATGTGAATCAGGAGGGATAGGAGTATGGAGAGAGGTTATACAGTATATGTACATGTACATGTATAATATAATGAATGAGATATTGGAGGTAATGGGTGATACACTGACCTGGTGGAGTATCAATAATAAGATAATCCAACTGACCCCAAACTACATCAGACAAGAACTGATTAATTATCACTAGGAGAGAGAGAGAGAGAGAGAGAGAGAGAGAGAGAGAGAGAGAGAGAGAGAGAGAGAGAGAGAGAGAGAGAGAGAGAGAGAGAGAAAGAGAGGGGGAGAGGGAGAGAGATAACAATAGAGGGTAAAGTTTTGTATAATGAGAGAATATGTTCATGTACCATTCTTCTTGGGTCCTCTCCATACAACAGCTTCATCTTTATTATTTAATAAAAACCAATTGACATCACACAAAGACTTTGAGTATCATCAACATATACTGGAATCCAACTAATAATAATAAATAAATAAATAATGTA